TGCCTGTTTACAGCCTCCCAAGAGCTGGGATTACAGGTACATGCCACCACACCCAGCATCGATTGCCCTCTCAGTGCACCCTGGGGGCAGGGCCAGCATGGCCCGGGGGATTGAATTCTCAGTCCCTGCTTCTGCTTGCAGGTGCTTTAATCTGCTGAGCTATTTGGCTGGCCCTGGAGCCCTTGTTTTTAATTCATTTGAATATATACCTGGAAGTGAGTTTTCTGAATCATGTGGTCCTGTAATCATATATTTAAGTTTTGAGCAATTATATACTATTTTCCAAGGTGTTGATATCATTTTATCTTACTACTAGAACTATGTGTTTATTTTGTCAACATCGTCTTGTATTCCAATAGCTTTTCCAAAAACTTCCATCTATTTTCTGTGCCTAAAAACAGAAAAGTCAGTCCTTGACTGTACCATTAAAGGAGTATCTTAGCTTTCAAAAACACTGCTTATAGGCAATGAGAATTCACAGATTCTACCATAAAACTTACCTAGTTGATACCATGACTGCAAGTCTTTGGGAACAAGCTATCTCGAAGGATATATCATACTTGTTTCTATTTACAAAGTTTCAAATATTATTTCTAGGGAATTTGTGAATAAGCTTTATTTAAAAATGGTAAAAATTTCATTGAGTATGTATCCATGTGTATAGATGTCATATTTTTAGTGAATTCATAGTTATTTAAAAATTAAGTCTTACATTTTGTAGATTTATAACAGATAGCTCCATCCTTAACAGAATTGCAGTTTTCATGTTTCCAAACTCCTTTTGGGTCCAATACCACACAATTTCCAGGAGAGTTCTGGCTTTTCCATGGCATGTAGTCAAGTGTACTGCCATCAGACCATTCAAAACTTGATTCACTGCCCTATTTAAAAATAATAGAGATAACCAGATCTCAGATATATGACTTCAAAAAAGAACACAAAGAATAATATACGTATACTTTATTAAACATTGGAATTGAAGGGAGTATTTGCTTCCAAATAGTACAATTCTGGACTTATTGATTTACTCTGATACATTGACTTGGGACATTTGCCCTGACAGCTGTTTTTTTTTTTTTTTTTTTGAGACAAGGTCTTGCTAAGTTGCTTAGGCCGGCTTTGAACTTACTATGTACTCTCTGGTTGCCCTTGAACTTGCAGAGATCCTCCTGGCTCAGTCTCCTGAGTGCTGGGATTATAGGGAAGGCCACCACATCTGGACCTACGCTGACACTATTTAAGTAGGACATTAAAGCCAGGCACAGAATTACTATACTCTGGATCTTTTTAAAAATATGAGTCTATATAATACTTTAAATGTCATGCATATAAATGGCTTTCATTTATCACAATTACAGATTTATAATCCTAGTATTCATGTTGCTCTGAATATTGGTTGTCTATGTTTTATAGATTTATGGTTTGGGTGTCTGGCTACACTTCTGAATTACAGAAGCCGTCAAGCAGCAGGGCCTTAGAAAATATTTCTAAAGAAACACAAACTAGAAATACTACTTTTGATTATTCCTTGAATCAAACTTAGCTTGCCACCACTTCCTTCTTTTATCTCTTCCACTGTATTCTAAAGGTGAAAGTTTAATCTCATTAGATGACTATCTTTGTAAATCAGACATTATTACAAGTATGTAATACACTACTGATAGCGTTCAAATAGTTGAAGATACAAACAAATAGAAGATTGTTCATCAGCAGATTAATTTTCATTAGTGCTAACTTCTAAGGAGAAAAGCGGAAAGAAAATAAGGGGCCAGGGAGCTAGCTCAGTACAATAAGCACTTGTCAGGCAAGGGCCTGAGTTCAATCCCCGGTTCTATCAGAAAAAAAAAAAAAAAAGAAAATATATGTTTGTAAGTCCTAATTATGTTAAGAATTTTTGTTGGCAAAGTACATAAATATCTGTGTTAAAATCTCAGTGAAAATATTAGAGATAAAGAAACAGAGGCATAAAGTTTAAATAAATTGCTTATGAAAACCTAGCACATAAATGGAAGAGCTGTTTTTAGTATTGAAACTCAGGTTTTCCTGATTCTACTTCCTTTGTAGTTGGTCTTCTCCAAATAGGTTACAGAGGTGCTGTTGAGATATTAAGCCACTGGGCCTACATGATATCTTGGCCATTTGCATCCTACATATACATTTTACAAATATAAATTTTTATTTGAAGCATTTTGTAAATTGTAAGAAAACAAGGACTTAACCAGATATTCTACTTTGAGTTACTATCTTATGCTCAGATTTCCAACTCTCAAACTAAGAAACAGATTTGGAAAATTTGTGAAAAACAGAGGAAGACTTACATCATGACTTGACAGTCCAATCCAGAGGGGATATCCATCACGCTTTACAATATCTTCTAGAAAGAGCTGGCCACTCTGGTTATGAACACTTGCCAAATGACCTCCTCGTTGTGAACATGTGTTTACTGCTTCATACCATGTTACCCTTTTCTGAATAACATTATAAACACCATCTTCATAGGGAATAAACTGTGGCAGTGTAGTATTATATTCTTCCTTGTAGTCAACTATAATATTTTTAAGAATATTAGTCATTAAATTTAAAGTATTTTAAATAAAAATTTAGGATAAATTGACAAAATCATTAAAGTTAAATAAAACTGAGTTTATTATTCATAAACAAGGCCAAAGGCACATTTTATTTTTCTTATTGCCACAGAACCTATAATAGGCTCTTAAATACTATAGTTGTTGGTTGATTTTTAAAAGGCATAAACATAGTCTTTATGTAAGAAGTTCACATAATGGTTGGAGACAGAAAACAACAATGCTTGAAATGATAACAAAACTATTACCCACTGTGACATATGAAATTATCTATATGGAGAGATTTAGCTGCATTAGAAGCCTTAGAAAATCCACTGAAATATCAGATCTGGAGGGTTAGGAGAAATTATCTAGGAAGTATGGAAGTATTAAAAACAAGTAACCAACAAAACCACAATGATGAAGGTATTCCACAGGGACACTGAGGCCAAAGGAAAGAGCTCCCAATGGCCAGAGCTGAAAAAACTTGGCAAAATATTAAATAATGTAGTTTGCTGAAAAATTATCCAAAGTATAAATAACTGTTTTATTTATAAAACTAGAGCCATGAAAACTAGAAAATTGGTCAAATGTGTGTAAGTAGGACTAGCCCTCAGTGCCAAAAGCAGATGAGCTACCTCAGTCCTGAGATAAGTATTTCTCAACACTCCATGGTTTTTAAGGAGCTATAGGCCTCAATCCTGGCCATGGAAGAGCAGAGAAATTTCACTGAGTCACAGATGAATTTCTGCCTCAAGGGAAGTACAGCCATTTTCTTTATCTCCCTTGCAATTGGCACTAAAAGAAGCCAGATGGGCAGAGGAGTCCATGGAGGGTTTTCAACATATCTACCCTGTTTCTGAAGTTCAAATACCTAGTAATATGGTACAAGTTGTACATCTTCATAAAGCTATAACTTTTAAAACTTTAAAAAAAATTAAAATAAGTTGTTGTTACTTATGGCCCTACTTCTCCCTTTACCTTGAGTCTAGTAGAAATGCTAGGACAACAGATTATGGCCCAAAATGATTGGAAAGAAATAGCTAAAGTATGCTTGAATCCAGAAGATTATTTATTGTGGAAAGGAAATTTCTTTGAATACTGCACACACAGGCAGCTCAAAATGCAGTTCACAAGTTAGCCATTACAAAAGACATACTAACTGGGGAGCATGCCTTTGATAACACAAACAATCAACTGACCTTTGCATTGCAGATATATAAGCGAACTAAGATAGCTGCCATTAAGGCCTAGAGAAAACTTCCTTGGAAGGGTGAGTCATCTCCTAATTTGGCTTCCATTCCGCAGGAAAACCTTTCCAAGATTTTGCTGCATGTTTATTGCAAGCTAATGAAAGGATTATAAGTGACAAAGAATCTAGCAAATTAATAGTTCAATAATTGGCTTTTGAAAATGCAAGTAAGGATGGCCAAATAACTCAGTGGATTAAAGCACCTACAAGTAGGTGCAGGGGCTGGGGTCTCAATCCCCAGGGCAGGCGCACTGAGACAGCAATTGAGACTAGGCATGGGGGCGTGCACCTGTAATCCCAGCTCTTGGGAGGTTGTAAACAGATGGATCACTACGAGTCCATGGATCTCACTAGCAGTGAGACCCTGAACACCCTGTAGACCCTTCCCTAAAATACAAAAAAAAGAAAGAAAGAAAGAAAGAAAGAAAGAAAGAAAGAAAGAAAGAAAACGCAAATGAATGTTATATATTAAAAAAAACGTGGGCTACACTGCCTGAGATGATGTGGAATTTGTAGATTTGACCCTCATATGTACAGGGAGCTGCCTTGCCAGCAGTTGTTACTCAGGTTATTCATCCATAGTCTAGATAAAAGGGAAAAAGTAAGTTTGTTTTCACTGTGGGGACAAGGGACATTTAGCCTGAAACTGTTCTGCTGCGTCAAAGACAACACTGCCACTGTCTGTCTCTTCAATAAAACTTTCCAGTCCATATACAAGATATAGACGAGGGTACCACTGGACAAGTGAATGTAGATCTAAAGCTGATGTGGAAGGCCGACCCATTCAGGGAAACTTCCAATGAGGCCCGCTTTGGTCCCATCAAATAATGGGGGCACTTTTCCCTTCACTGTGACAAGCATCTCTGACCTCTGGCAAGCAACAATCAATAGCAGAGACTTAGACCTCAGTTCCTCCTCCAGATTCCTATTAACTCCTAAAATGAGGCCCCAAATTATTCCTATTAGAGTCTGTAGACCTATGCCTCAGGGTACAGTGGGAATCTTGCTAGGCTGCAACAGTCTCATTTTAAAAGGTCTCCAGCATAGTGAGACTCTGTACAAAAACAAAACAAAACAAAACAAAACAAAACAAAACAAAACAAAAACAGTCTCCAGATTTTGCTTTCTGTCATCAATACTACTTATGCAGGGAAATCAAAGTTATAATTTTATCCACCCAAGCCATTGTTTAAACCACATCAGACTCTTGTATTGCTCAAGTGGTCATTCTTTTTTGATAAAAATTTTAAAATTATTAAAAAAGAAATATTGGGTTAAAAGTAAAAATTAATTAATTAAAGAAAAAATATTTTAAATGTTCTTTCAAATGCAAGTGTGAATGACCTACAGGCAGGGCAGCTACAAAGGTGAAGGATCATTACCCAAGAATAAAACTTAACAAAAATAAAAGAAAAAAGAGTGGCTCATTCTCTCCATTACAATTGACACTAAAAGAAAAGTTTTTATATTTTCTTCTTAAGGTGCTTAAATTAAAAGTTTGTTTCCATCCTAAAGATAAAAACAGTTTGCCTTTTAAAAAAATTAACCATATTTCCTAAGATTTATAATGATGGAGATATTTTAAAAGATTATTTAAAATTCTTTTGATTCCTAATAAATTTGACTGTTTGTTTTACAGTTCTAAATTAAAACTGGTATAAAAAGCTTTAATATTTAACAAGCAAATATGGAGGTGTGGAGTACAATTTAAAGCAGTGCAGTTTAAAAAGTAGCTTGATTTTGACATCCCATTTAAATAATAAAAGGCCTAGTGATGGCCTCCAAAAGGGTACAAGCTATAATAACTTCTTCATATTTGGGTCAACTTATCTAAAAAAGATAATGTACCCAAACTGTTCAGACCAACCATTCATTCATGATTTTCAGACTTTTTTGGTAATATTAATTGGCTCTATCTAGATTTTTTTGCTAATTTCTCTGGAGTTATTAACTGTGATTATCCTTCAGATAAGTTAAATTAATTTGCTTTTTTCAAATAGGTCATATTAGGTTAAGTGAGAAAATGTATGGCTACCTCTTCCAAAATATAGGATACAAGTTTCTCACCATACAGTTAAAATTCAATTACAAAGCAAAAAGGGGGGTAATCAGTCCTTCCAACTTCACTTGTCACTATACACTATTAATTTTTTTGATCATTTGTTCATAATACATTTTGGGATATAGACTTAAAAGCATGCTTTCTCCTAAGTTACCATCTGGTATAAGTGATATCAAAATCAGTTTATACATAGCTTATCGAAAGTTTAAGTTAATTAGGCAAAAATTCCTTAGAGTGGGGAGAAATTATTTGAGAATAGTCCAATTGATGAATAAGAAGTGTGTTAACCTTTTTGTTCATTAATAAGGAGCTCCCAATAATTTCAATAGTCCCGTAGGGGACCCCCTCATATAGATGGATCATTGGTTAAAAGATAAAGGTTTTCAGAAAAAAAATTACAATAAGGTTTTCTCTTAAAAAATGGTTTTGGTATAAAACTAAATTAAAAAACAAAGGTTTTCACCCGTGTATGGCAATTCATTACTATTAATCTCATGGTGTATTAAGTGTATTTGTGATTCCAAGTGTATAGGTCTGACAAAATGTAAAACAACTATTGATTATTGTGCTAAGACTTTCAGATTCAAACCTCTGCCTTTAACAAGAAGCTTGTGATGTATATACCATTTACTAGTGACTTATTAGGTAAAAATTTCTTACATTAGATAGAGATGATTGGTCAAAAGTGTTATGCCAAAATGAAAACTTAAGTATGTCACAATATGTCATCAGGATTGTCCTGCTACAATGTTATGGTTTTGATTTCTCAATTTCTGTGTAAATATATTTAACTGTTGTCTTTTAACATTCTATAGGGATTTAAATATTAAAATATCCATGGTTGTTAAAAAATAACAGTTCCATTCTATGTCTAAGGTGTTTTTAAAAATTTTTTTCTTATTTTTTGGCCAGCTCAGCCTGCCCTAAGGGTGGGGCTGGCATGGCATGTGGTGTCTGGGATTGAACTGTGGTCCCCTGTGCCTGCCTAAGCTTGCCTAAGAAGGTGATTTAGACCACTGAGCTATCTTGCTGGTCCTCTAAGGTGTTTTATATTCATATAAATAAAAACATTAAGCTTACTACCTCTGTTACAGGGTAATGTCATTAAGTGTCTCTTCTAGATTTTTAACAACTGAAGTTTAAAGACCAAAAATTAGAGAGATAGATGGGCTAAAAGGATAGCCAATATTTTGGCCCTCACCCTTCAAGATCAATGAGGACTTAAGACATTAAAAAAAAAAAAAAAAAAAAAAAAAAACTTCTGCTGTGACATCCTATAACTCTGTTGACTCCCAAATTTTCTGATCAAGGAGATTATGGGTTCATAGAAAAAAGGGATCAACAATATATTATGTGCCTAAGGAGAGTCACCTAAAAACAATTTCTCTCAGGCTTTCATAAAAACAAGTCGGTCAAGCAATGGCCATGACTCATCCAGGTGACTAACACTGACAAAAGATCTAAGAGGTGTTATACATGGATCCAAGATAAATCCTAAAGAGATTTAACTGACCTTCTCAAATAATAAAAGTTAAATTTATATTTATACAGGTCTTGCTTTAATTTGGTCTTAGCCATCCAGCAGAAAAGTATACCCATGAGATCTGAAAAGTAATGCCATATTAATATGCTAAGCTGTAAAGGCTCAAGTTATTAATAACTTTTGACAATTACCAGGTGTACTGAGAACTCACTACTATTGTGGTCTATTGGACTACATAGGGTTACATTGCTGAATTCAAGTACCTAAAATCTTTGGATTGGCATCAAGTATAAGAAGGTCCTCTAAAGAGTTCTCCAAACACAACTTCTCTAACTGAAATTGAATGCCCATCTCTGACACAGCAAAACACAAAAGGGAGATGTGTTGAGAGCCATGAAAGCTAGAAAATTGGTCAAATGTGTGTAAGTGGGTCTTGGCCTCAGTGCCTAAAGCAGACAAGCTACCTCAGACCTGAGATATGCACCCTGACAGGTTAATGTCAGCTATTAGTAACTAGGCAACCTTGTATTATGTGTTGCAAAGGTATAAATAAATGTCCATATTGTTGCTCTGGGGGTCTTTTCCCTAACCAGGCAGATGAGTGACCACCTAACCCAGCAGTTATCTTCTTGTCTATCTTTTCCTCATTCCTGCCACCATTTCTCTCTGGGTAAAACAGATCACACTGGGACCCACAGATCCTTACATATGACCATGTGCTTACATGAGAATTGAAAGGTTAGAAGACATTAAAAATAAAAAGAAGCTAAGTAGAAAGAAATGTTGGCTTTCACAGAGAGCACATTGGCCATGCAATGGCCGTGACTCATCCACATGGCTGACACTGACAAAGGATCTACAGTTTGAGGTACAGGATCTCAGGATAAATCTTGAAGGGATTTCACTGACCTTATCAGACCCAAAAGCTATAACTCTTGTTGCATAGGTCTTGCTTTATCTCGGTCTTAACCATCCAGCAGAAAAGTATAAAAACGAAGTATAAGAAGTAAAGCCATGCTGTTATGTTGAGCTGTAGGGGACTCAGGTCAACAATTTCTGACATTGCCAGTCAAGAGGAAGACCCAATATTATTATGGACCACTGGACTCTTTTAGAATATTTTGCTGAGTTTACACACCTATAATATTCAAATAATGGAACTAAACAAAAAAAGGGGATACAGATGAATGTCCATTTTTTATCTGTGCATTCAAAATGGTTAGGATAGATATATAGTTACATTCTCTTAATGAATAGAGGGATTTGTTATAATAGAGTTTGTAAATTGGATATCATGTCTGCATCTTATACAGCAATTAACCACTAGGAAGAATGTCTGCAATGTGTTAATTATTGAAACTCTCCTACCAATTTTGTTTGAAATTTTCTCATCGCTATTTGTTTCTCAATAAAATTGTGGGGAAAAAATAAAAAAAGAAGTGCTAAAAACAGTCAAAAATAAAAACCACAATGTTTTAGGGTATTAATAAATACCTGAATGTATTTTAATTTATTGAGAATAGATAAGGCTATGTAGAATCCGAAATAATCTATACAGTCACTCCCTCCACAGGAAGGCAGAGGATAACTCTCCACCCTGTAAGTGTACACTGAGCACATTAACTTCTTTACAGAGTACAATATGGAAAGGAGGAAAAGAGTTACTTTACAATAGAGAAATGTAACAAACACTCTCTTGAACCAAATGACCAAGGTTAAAATCCATGGTGACAGATACTTTTACAGCATATACCATTCATACATATGATGAAAAGGACACCTTACATCTGTGGTTTTCCACTTTTACTGAAAAACCTCATTTTAATCATAAGAAAAACATTAGCTAATTCTAAGTGAATGATGTTCTACAAAACACATTTGCAGTCCCCCCTCAAAACTTTTAATATCATAAAAACCAAGAAAAGTCTGAAGAAACATCATAGCCAAGAAGAGCTTATGCATGTATCCCAGATGGCGTCTTGAATAGCAAAAGGTTGTCAGATAAAACTGATACAGTAAATTGTAGGAATTTTAGTTAATAAAAATGTATCAAAATGGGTTCCTTAATTGTGACAAATGTACCATAAGATGTCAACAATAGGGGAAGTGGTGGTGGGAGATATGGGCACTCCATACTATCTGTGTAAGTTTTCTGTAAATCTAAAGCAATTCTAAAGTGAAAATTTTATTTAAAATGAAAAAAGAAAATACAGAAATGGAAAGCTCCTTAGCAGGAGGAAAACTTAAATAAAAGAACAAATAAGAGGCTGGACAAACTCCTCACAGAAGTCACAATGAGAAAAAGATGGTTTGCTTAATCAGCCAAGATGGGAAAAAGACAGAGGCTGCAGGACTAGAATTAAGAACAGAGGCTAATCTCTATAAAGTCTCAAAAGTTTTCATGGACTCAAAATAACTGAAAAAAGGGAGTTCTGAGACAGCAATACAGATGGTCTCTCAGATGCTATTGTGCAGCTTTGTGAGGGAAGATGGCTGGTCAGGATGCCATTACCATGAGCTCTGGGTCAGCAGAAGACTCAGAGAAAGGCAGTCATGACAGCAGTTATTATGTTGTGAACATTTTGAATCGACTTGCACTTTAGACTTATTTGTGCATTACCTAAGGTCAGAAGGCATTCATTTTGTCTGGAATGTCAAATTCTACCTGAATACATTTTCTTGTTTATAATAATCCTATCCATCCATCAAGGTCCCAGCAACTGTCACCACCTCTTGAAGTCTTTCTTTGTTTTCACTGATCACTTTCATCTGTAGTAAATAATCTAAAACTAAGCCACTCTTCATAAAGAAGTTATGCTGTCTCCTCTCACATAGGCTCTGCAGCATCTTACATGAAGCTGAATACAGAGAAGGCATTTGAAACACCCCATGGCATAATTCACACTAGAGGTAATGGCTTGGCATCCCCCTTCCCTGGAGGAATACGTACTTACATACTTACCCATTTCAATTTTACAAGCAAGAATGCTGTGCTGGTAAAAAGAAAGTACGTCCTCAATAACATTAAAGGTTTGAATATCCCAGAAGCCATCAGTACTCAAACCGGCTAAAAACTTGCCATTTGTTACAGTTGGTCTTCCTGCTCGCCAGTGTGTATATGACAGCATGCTTTTATCAAACCACATCAAGGAGTTATCTAAAGAAGAAATTCATTTTTTCTATGCTCAGAGATTATTGTAAGAATTATAGTTACAAGGTTAATATTTTAAATGACTAATTTTCTTTCTTCTTCTCCTACCTTCTAAATGGTTATATGATTACGTGTATCTTATTAAAATATTTTATTGTCATGTCAGTAAATTACATTTATTTTTAATTTGGAAAATATAAATCATAAACATGATAATTAAAATTTACATATAATTCAACAATTTAATATTTTGTTATTTTTCATCAACTCTCCATTTCTCATATATATGTTTAGTTGAAATGGAAATAGACATAACTATTTTATAAAAACAACATCTATTATACAGTTAGTAAGTGAAATCTCTAGATGTAAGTAGTATGCAATTGTGCATACATATGGTTAACTTTAAGATGAGAAGCATATTCAAGGTGAAAAGTCTTCTCAAGAAATAGTGCTGAATAACTGAACTGGATATCTACATGCAAAAAATAAAGCTGAGCATTTGCTGTCACTCTTCACTAAAATTCAAAATATACCACAAACCTAGATGTGAGAGCTAAAATTATAAAACTTTTAGAAAAAAAACACAGGGGTAAGACTTCATGATCCTGTACTAGACAAGTCCTTCTTAGATATCAAAAAGTGTCAAAAAATAGATAAATATTACTTGATAAGAATAAAAAATCAGCCAGAGATATAGCTCAGCAGCACAGTGTCTGCTTGGCAAGCAT